CTAGCGGCCATACAACCAAACGCATCCACACGGGACTGGAAAATTTTCCTCTCTTTTTCAGTCAACACTTGTAGAAATGAAGGCTGGGAAAGGTAAGCGGGTTGGAGAAGACCGCTCAAGTCAATCTTACTTGCCTGAAAGAGAGCGACGAACCGTCTCCGCGACGAAAGCCTGTAAGCCCATCCTCGCCCTAGAGAAACATCAGCAGAAGTCCCTCCCCTACCGGAAGGAAGCTGCCAGGCGTGGCCTAGGATTGGCTAATTCTGATCTTGTGCAGTGATGTCAATGAGGCCGCTGCCAGTCTCCCTAATGGTTGCCCGGATGTTTCTTCAGCCTCCTTTACTAGGCCAAGGCACACAGTTAGACTGCCTGGGTGGCCCTAGGTTCAAGCCTACAGCCAGGTCTCCAAGATGTACTCCTCCCACTCAGTCCAGCCTTGAATAACTGTCTTCCTTGAAGCCCTCACCCGCTGATCATAAAGTCTTTTTGGATGATTTTACCAGTACACTAAAAACACTGAAAAAAAAATCACATTCTTTACCAAAAGAAGGTATATTTTGAAAAGTATTGTACATAAATAATGCGAATTGTTTTTTTCTTTTTCCTTCGTTTTTGTTTCTATGCTTGTTTGTGTTTGAGCCAGGGTGTCCGGTAATCCAAACTGGTCCGGAACATGCTGTTTCACCAAGGCTAGATTTGAATTCCTGGTCCTCAGGCCTCCACCTCCAGAATGCTGGGATTACAAACCGTGCGGCACCAAGTTTGGGAATCAAAATAAATTCTTAGTGAGAGTCGCTTTAGCATCAGCACTTGTATTTAGATGTACAGTTTATTAATTTTTTTACTTCTCCTAGGGTTTTATAATGGGAAGCCAACCTTCAGGTCACAGCTCAAGAGAACTTTTCTTCCAGTCATAGCTATTCCAGGCTATGTTATTTTCCTGAAGTAAAGTCCCTTTGTACTATGGGTAGGCTGTTTCCTTAACTGTAGTGACTAGAAGCCAGATGGAATAGCATCCAGGCAGGAGAGATCCCTGTGTCGGGCCTAGTAACTCTTCCTTGCATTGCACTTTTTTTTTCTCCAAAGTTTCTTTTATTTAAGCAAAGAGTATTGTGGTGAAAATTCATGAAAAAAGTGGTGTCTGGTTGTGTTTATGTATGCAGAGACTGGTGGGCCAATTAGAATTTCACCATTACAGAAACATTAGACTTTTGCAAGTTCAGAGTCTAATTGCTTTCTCATGGGCTAGTTTTAGACTTCCTTGCCCCACTCTGTATCTGAAATAACAACTTGTGATGATAAGAAAAAAACCTATTAGAAGGTATTAACGTGGTACTAACATTCTGAAATAAATAAAAACCTTTTAGAAACTATTAACTTAGAACTATTATGATAATAAATGAAAACCTCTTAGAAGCTATTTCCTTAGCAGAGTACTACCTTCTACCAATCTCAGAGCTAAGAATGCCATGAGATAGCATCTTAGGCCTATTGAATAGGCCTATCTTGTACATACCTCTCTGGTGTACCTATCAGCATATTTTAAACTTGCCTTGATTTATGACTTTCTTTGTTGTGTAAAACTATTTTTAGAAACCTCTGTGCAACTGCTTCCACATTGGAACATGGGTTGGGGTTAACCTAAATCTGTGCTCCTGGGCTAAGGTCACTCAGCATGTCTCCAGAAGAAACAATGTCCTGTTTCTGTTTAGGATGAGAGCTATGGTTTTGATGTTAATGTTACAGAATCCACTAGTCTACATGCTTTTTAGACTTTCCTCTACTTGGTGTCCCAGAAAGGAAAAGTAAAATGTGAGTTAAAGGAAGTTGGAAAATGAGTATACACTTGGCCTTCCTTAGGAGAATCATGTACCCAAAGGTAGGTCTGCAGTGTTGTAAGCACTAAAGCAAGCCTCAAGAGATCATTTTTAAACGAAAATCTCATCTTTTTTAAATCTCATCTTTTTAAAACTAATTTATTAGCTGAGTATGGTGGCACATGCCTTTAACCCCAGCACCTGAGAAGCAGAGGCAGACAGATTTCTGTGAATTTGAGGCTGGATTGGTCTACACAGTGAGTTTCAAGCCAGCCACAACTATATAGTGAGGCCTTGTCTCAAAACTAAAAATAAATAAGTGAATGAAAGATAAAGCTAACTTATTGGTGCCACCTTATTACATAATGTAACCCATGTTCTACCTAAACCTATAGGAGCCTATGCACTACATACAGAGTCACTGAAAACTAACCTCCAGGGACATTTGAGTCCTTGTATTCACTTTCAGGTGAATGGATTTTTAATGGTATGACTTTAACAAATAGCACATCGGGCTTTTGTCTCTGTGTAATCCCTACTGGCATCTTAAATTTTATTACTTCATTACAGCCTTAGAAACAAGAAGAGAACCCCTAACTCACCCTAAAATTGGGATTCTAGAGTTTGTGTTCTTTTCTATTAAAAAATAAGTGAGTATGTGCTTCTAAGAATTAAAGCTGATGAGGGAAAGGAACACCAGAGCACATGCCAGGGAGAGGATTCACCTGTCCAACTCTCAAGGGTTTCCAGAAGGGGGATCTGTCTGCTGACTCATATCTTGAGATCTTATAGTTAGTCCCAGCTTCCAAACTGTATGATGGGAGACACTGGGAATTTATGGCTGTTAGAATGGTCCTTTGAGAGATGTTTTTCATTACTGATGTTTATTCATTTCCTACTTTTGATGGCACTGGGGGTCTAACCCAGAGTCTGACATGTAATTGCAATTGCACTCCCATAAAGCACACCTTTTAAAGCTAATACTATACGAACGTTATAAATTCATTGTACACAGAGAGAATATGAAAGTAAGTGTATGGGTACTGAAGGTGTTAAAAGATAGTAAACCTAAAAAACAATTTAAATGATGTTATAGCAAAACAAAAACAACAATCACTTCTCAATTTGCAACATTTACAAGCTCATAGATAAATGAATGCTACAAGGATACAGACACTGTCCAATGTTTTCAAACAAAAGAACTTAGAATTTTGTGTCTATAGTTCTGTTAGACAAATAATAAAAAGATGTTTTAGGGGCTGGAGAGATGGCTCAGAAGTTAAGAGCATGGGTTGTTCTTCCAGAGGACACAGGTTCAATTCCCAGCACCTATGTGACAGCTCACAACTGTCTGTTACTCCAGTTCCAGGGGATTTGGAACCCTCACACAGACATACACTCAGGCAAAAATAAAAATGAATATAATCTTTAAAAAAATCACCTTGTCTGGGCATTGGTGGCGCATGCCTTTAATCCCAGCACTCGGGAGGCAGAGGCAAGTGGATCTCTGTGAGTTTGAGACCAGCCTAGTCTACAAGAGCTAGTTCCAGGACAGCCTCCAAAGCCACAGGGAAACCCTGTCTCGAAAAACAAAACAAAACAAAAATCACCTTGGCTGAAAAGTCAGGCAGGTGAATGCAAACTAGACATGTTAGACATGCCAAGCACTGTGAGGAAACTGATGATAGTTCACTGTGGCCTGTCTTCTCAGCTCATTTCTGCAGTCCAGGCAGCCTTTCAACTCCTCTTGTCATGTTTGACATAAGACTGTTGAAGCTACGGTGCAACTGTGAAACATTTTTTAAAAAAAAGGCCAGACAGTGGTGGTGCATGCCTGTAGTCCCAGCACTCTGAAGGCAGAGGCAGGCAGATCTCTGTGAGTTCTAGGCCAGCCTGGTCTACAAACCAAGTTCCAGGACAGCCAGAGCTGTTTCATAGAGAAACCCTGTCTCTAAAAAAAACCAAAACAAACAAAAAGATGTTTTAGATTTGGAAGAAAGAAAACAAAGATGACTTACCTCCCTACAGAAGAGTTTTATGTGGAGAAACTATCAGGCCATGGGCAGCCATGATGGGGTACTGAAGAAAACCTTCAGTTCCAAAGAACAAAGGGAATATCTTTCTCCTATTAGTTTAGGGTTGGGGAGAAGATATTCCATGCCATGTGACCTAAGACACATGCAACAAGTTATTAAGACAAGCAAGGCACTTGATAAGAATTAGGGCTTTAGTTCAAGGCCACATGGAGCCAGGGCATCGTTGGGGAAATGGACACTCGGTAAGACTCCACGGAGGCCTCACTTTTCCATTTAGTTTGCTGCTGCCTGGGAGAGGGAAATAACTCCATCAGAGCTGCAGGGTCACACCTACTCTCTGTAGCTGTGCTGAAAGAAATGCTACAGGGAGTGAGAACAAGTTTGGAGGAGAGCGCAGCTAAAGGGTCTGTCACCTAACTTCTCCGAGTAAGGCAGGTTATCCCAAGTATGGGAATGGTTTGCTAACATGTTTCAGAGTACTGGAAATGGCAGGAGAGGTTAGTCAGGACTTCTGGGCAGAGAGAGGAACTCAGGATGAATCTAGGTGAGACACAGGGGAAGTCGGACATACAGAATGGAAAAGAGGTAAAGATACACATGACAGAACGTAGATTAATAGAAACCGGTTAATTTAAGTTGTAAGAGCTAGTTGGGAACAAGCCTAAGCTAAAGGCCAAGCTTTCCTAATTAATAATAGGTCTCCACGTCATTATTTGGGGAATGGCAGTCCCAAAGAAAGTCTGACAAGAAAGACTGGCTACATCTGGCTACTCTTTTTATTTAAACTTTCCTGTGTATTGCAAACTGTCTACGATAGAAATGAATTGTCAGGCAATGTACAAGCTTATAAACCTAGCTTTCAAAAAGCAGAGCCTGGAGATTGTGAGTGCCAGACCAATCTCTACAAAACAATACTCTCTCTCAGCTAGAAAAAAAAAAAAAAGCTGAACCACCCCAGACAGAACAACTACAACAGAATTGCCTTTCTAGTGCAGATGATAAAAAATACAGTGAAGGTATGAAAAAAAAATATTCTCAGTTTGCCATGGAAGTCTTCAGGCTCTCTTCACGGACAATGAAATAGGGTTGCCAAAGGACAGAAAAGGAAAGTAAAAATCACCCAGGGATTCAAGCAAAACTGACTTACCTTTTCATATGGGAACAGTAGAAGGAATGCTGTTTCAGAAGCCACTATGCCACCGGGGGAGCCAGGATGCCTTGTGCAGATTCTTGGCCTCAGATAAAAGAATTTAAAAACATTACACCTTTAATCCTAGCACTCAGGAGGCAGAGGTATATGGATCTTTGTGAGTTCAGGAGATCAGCATGGACTACTAAGTGAGTTCCGGGACAGCCAGAGCTGTTACACATACCAAAAAAGAAAACAACACAAACAAGACAAGAATTTAAAAACAAGCAGTATGGTGGCAGAAGTCTATAATGACGACACTCAGGAGACTGTGACAAGATCCCCAGTTCAAGTCGGTCCTTGGCTGTAAATCAATTTGGATAACAGCTGGAGCTACATGAGATCTTGTCTTAAACAAATTAAGAACAAACCCAGAAAGAAAATCTAGGCTGAGAGAGAAAACAGTAGATGGCCAAGCTGGAGATCTCCAGAATTGAAAGAAAAAGAAAAAAGGAACTTACACTTTCTAAGTTAGAAATATAGAAACAAAAGGTTTAGTAATGGCTTGAGGTGGGTGTCTTCAGTGCAATTTCTGGTAGCACATGATTAATTTTGACACTTACAACTGATGTCATTAACAATATAAGTGTTCCAGGCTGTGATGGCTCAGGACTTTAGTCTCAGAACTCGGGAGGCAGAGGCAGGCAGAGCTCTGTGTGTTCAAGACCAGCCCGGTCTACAGAGAGAGTTCCAGGACAGGCAGGGCTGTTACACAGAGAAACTCTGTCTTGAAAAAAGAGAAACAACAACAAAGCGGGTTGGGAGGTGGCTGAGTGGTTAAGAGCACTGGCTGATCTTCCAGAGGACCCAGGTTCAATTCCAAGCAGGTCACAACTATTAGTAACTCCAGTTCCAGAGGATCTGACACCCTCATAAGGACATACATGCAGGCAAAACACCAACGCACACGGAACAAAAATAAATAGTTATTCAAAAGTAAAAACAAATATGATGTAAGTGTTCCATGACAATCAATAATGGTGAGGCTGTGAAAACAAGGCATCTCATAGGCTAACACTGCAACACCAATGTGTGTTGTGTTTTCAGAGTGTCCATTCACAGTGAAAAGTATTTGGCATTTGAATCCAGTATCTCTGTTTTGAGAATTCCAAGTAACCGGAGGGTTTTTGTTTGTTTGTTGTTTGTGGGTTTTCTTTTTAAATACATAGGTACAGAATGTTCTTTTCATTTTAAAGAGGAATTGCTGAGCAATTTATCAGTTTCTTTTTTTCATTCTTAATATTTTTAAAATTATTTTACATATCAATCTCAGTTCCCTCTCCCTCCCATCCTCCATGCCTCCCACTCCCATCCCCCATCTACTCCTCAGAGAAGTTGAGTCCTTCAATGACAAATCATCAAATTCTATCAAGTCATTTGCGGCAGGGCCTAGGCGCTCCCATTTGTATCTAGGCTAAGAGAGTATCCGTCCATGGGAAATGAGCTCCTGCAGTCCATTCCTGCACTAGGGATACATCCTGGTTCCACTGCGAGAGGCCCCATAGACTGCCCAGTGATCCTAGCTTACACCCATGTTCAGGGAGCCTAGTATGATCCTAGGTTGGTTCCCAGCTGGAGTCCATGAGTTCCCACTTGTTCAAGTCAGCTGTTTCTGTGGTTTTTCCCAGCATGATCTTGACCCCATTATTCATTCCTCACTCCTCCCTCTCTGAAAATGGATTCCAGGAGTTTGGCTCAGTGCTTAGCTGTGGACCACTGCTTTTGCTTCAATCAGCTCTAGAATAGAATTTAAGGTAGCCATCATTATCATTATAGGGGAAGGACATTTAAGGTAGTCTCTCCACTATGCTTAGAATCCTAGTTGGGGCCATCCTTGTGGATCTCTGTACAATTCCCTAGTGCCGGATTTCTCTTTAAACCTATAGTGGCTCCCTCTATTGATGTGTCTCTTTACTTGCTCTCCTCTATAACTGGCCCCACTCGATCTTCCTGATCCACCATGACCTCCCCCCTCCTCTTCCTCCTACCGCCATCCCTCCTCCCCCCAAGTTCCCAATGTGCTCAGGGGCTCTAGTCCCTTTCCACCTCACTGGGGGAATGTGTATGTCTCTCTTAGGGTCCTCCTTATTTTCTAGCTTCTCTGAAGGTGTGGATTGTAGGCTGGTGATCCCTTCCTCTATGTCTAATATCCATATATGAGTGAGTACATAGCATGTTTGTCATTCTATGACTGGGTTACCTGACTCAGGATAGTTTCTTCTAGTTCCATCCATTTGCCTGTGAATTTCAAAATTCCATTGATTTTTCCACTGAGTAGTAGTCCTTTGTGTAAATGTACCACATTTTCTCCATCCATTCTTCAGCTGAGGGGCATCTAGGTTGCTTCCAGATTCTAGCTATAACAAATAATTCTGCTATGAACATAGTTGAACAGATGTCCTTGTATAAATGTGTATCTTTTGCCAAAGAGTGAAATTGCTGGATCTTGAGGTAGACTGGTCCCATTTTTTGGAGAAATCGCCATACTGATTTCTAAAGTGACTGTGCATGTTTGCACTCCCACCAGCAGTGGAGGAGTGTTCCCCTTTCTCCACACCCTCCCCAGCATAACCTGTCATCGGTGTTTTTGATTTTAGCCATTCTGACAGGTATAAGATGATATCACAGAGTTGTTTTGATGTGCATTTCCCTGATGACTAAGGATGTAGAACACTTTCTTATGTGTCTTTCAGGAATATTAGATTCTTCTTTTGAGAATTCCCTATTTAGTTCTGTACTCACTTTTTAATTGGATTATTTGGTGTTTTTGTGACTAGCTTATTGAGCTCTGTGTATTTTGGAAATCTGCCCTCTATGAGATGTAGGGTTGGTGAATATCTTTTCCCAGTCTGTGGACTGCTGCTTTGTCTTGTTGACTGTGTCCTTTGCCTTACAGAAGCTTCTGAGTTTCAAGAGTTCCCATTTATTAATTGTGGATCTCAATATATATGCTACTGTGTCGCGACCTCCTCGACCAGCAAGGAAGACACAATGCTGAGACTCTGCCTTAAGCAGTTTACTCAGAAACCTTGAACAATCTTCTGACCCCGGGGAAAGCCAGCCCACAGCTTAAAAGCACTCTTGCCAGCCAACCCCAGAATGCCACGTGGCTAAGGCGGATAGGCTCGCATTTGCTGATGCAAGTTTGAATCTTAGACCAAGCCAAATAAGGAGTTGTTTATTCCAGAGAGCGCTCACCCTCAGGATGGTGGAAGGTGGAAACGGCGCCATCTTTAAGGCGTGGCAACATCGCAGCTCTCCACACTACTGGTGTAATGTTCAGGAAGCAGTCTCCTGTACCAATTCATTCGAGGGTACCACCTACCTTCTATTCTTAGAGGTTCAGTGTGGCTGGATTTATGTTGAAGACTTTAATCCGTTTGGACTTAAGTTTTGTGCATGGCGATAGATAAAGATCTATCTGCAGTCTTCTACATGCCAGCATTCAGTTTTGCCAGCACCATTTGTTGAAGATGTTTTCCTTTTTCCATTGTATAATTTTAGCTTCTTTGTCAAAAATCAGGTGTTTGTAGGTGTGTTGGTCAATCTCGGGGTTTTCAATGTGATTCCCTTGGTCTGCCTGTCTATTTTTGTGCCAATACCAAGCTGTGTTCATAACTATAGCTCTATATTACAGCTTGAAGTCAGGGATGGTGATGCCTCTGGATGTTCCTTTCTTATCCAGGGTTGTTTGGGCTATCCTGGGGTTTTTGCAGATTTATTTTTGAGTTAGAAAGAAGATTGTTTTACATGTCAATCCCAGTTCCCTCTCTCTCCCCTCCTCCCCTACCATCCTATCCCCAACTAAAACCCTACCTATCACATATCCTATCTGCTCCCCAGGAAGGGTGAGGCCTTCCAGAGGGGGTCATCAGAGTCTATCATATCCTTTGGGATAGGGTCTAGGCCCACCCCCGTGTGTCTTGGCTCAGGGAGTATCCCTCTATGTGGAATGGGCACCCAGTGTCCACACCTATGCTAGGGGTAAGTACTTGTTTACTACAGGAGCCCCATTGATTTCCGAGGTTTCCTCACTGAAATCCATGTTCTTGGGGTCTAGATCAGTCCCATGCTGGTTTCCCAGCTATCAGTCTGGAGACCAAGAGCTCCAGGTTGTTCAGGTCAGCTGCTTCTGTGGGTTTCACCAGCCTGGTCTGGACCCCTTTGCTCATCATTCATCCTCTGCAGCTGGATTCCATTTCAGTTGAGTTCAGTGATTAGTTGTGGGTGTCTGCTTCTACTTCCACCAGCTTCTGGATGAAGGCTATAGGATGGCATATAAGTCAGTCATCAATCTCATTATCAGGGGAGGGCATTTAAGGTAGCTCCTCTTCTGTTGCTTAGATTGTTAGCTGGTGTCATCTTTGTAGATGTCCAGACCTTTCCCTAGTGCCTGATTTCTCTTTAAACCTAAAATGTCTCCCTCTATTATGGTATCTCCTTTCTTGTTTTCTTCTATTCTTCCCCTGACTCAAACTTTCTGCTCCCTCATGTCTTCCTCAGCCCTCCTCTTATCCCCTTTTCACTCTCCTAGCTCCCTCCCGACTCCTCCCATGCTTCCAATTTGCTCAGGAAATCTTGTCCCTTTCCCCTTCTCCAGGGGACCATGTATGTCTCTCTTAGGGCCCTCCTTGTTAACTAGCTTCTTTGGCCATGTGCATTGTAGGCTGGCAATCCTTTACTCTATGTCTAAAATCCACATATGAGT